GCCGATTGTTCCCTTTGCTGTGCAGAAGGTTTTTATTTTGATGTAATCCCAATTGTTTTTTTTTCTTTTATTTCCCTTGCCTCAAGGAGCATATCTAGAAAAAAAAAATTGTTATGACTGATGTCAGAGAAGTTACTGCCTGTGATCTCTTCTAGGATTTTTATGGTTTTAAGTATCATTTAGGTATTTAATATAATTTGAGTTTATTTTTGTGTATAATGTGAAAAGCGGACCAGTTTCATTCTTTTGCGTGTTGTTGTCCGGTTTTCCCAACACCATTTGTTGAAGATACTGTCTTTTTCTCAGGGGATATTCTTTCCTGCTTTGTGGAAGATTAATTGACCATATTGTTGTGGTTTATTTCCGGATTTTCCATTCTGTTCTATTGATCTGTGTGTTTATTTTTGTGCCAGTACCATGCTATTTTGATCACTACAGCTTTGTACTATAACTTGAAGTCTGGAATTGTAATGCTTCCAGCTTTGCTTTTCTTTTTCAAGATTGCCTTGGCTACTTGGGGTCTTTTGTGGTTCCATATGAATTTTAGGATTGTTTGTTCTAGCTCTGTGAAAAATGCTGTTGGTATTTTGAAAGGGATTGCATTAAATGTGTAGATTGCTTTGGGCAGTGTAAACATTTTAAGAATATTTGTTCTTCCAATCCATGAGCATGGAATATCTTTCCATTTCTTTTCGTCACCTTCAATTTCTTTCATCAGTGTTTATAATTTTCAGGGTATAGGTCTTTTCACCTCTTTGATTAGGTTTATTCCTAAGTATCTTATTTTTAGTGCACTTGTAAATGGAATTGTTTTCTTAATTTCTCTTTCTGCTTCTTTGTTATTAGTGTATACAAATGCAACAGACTTCTGCTCATTGATTTTGTATCCTGCGACTTTACTGAGTTCACTTATTAGTTCTAGCAGTTTTTTGGTGGGGTCCTTTGGGTTTTTTGTACATAGTATCATGTCATCTGCAAATAGTGAAAGTTTTACTTCTTCCTTACCAATTCGGATGCTTTTTATTTGTTTTTGTTGTCTGATTGCTGTGGCTAGGACTTCCAATACTATGTTGAATAAAACTGGTGAGAATGGACATCATTGTCTTGTTCCTGACTTTTAGGAAAAAAGCTCTCAGTTTTTCCCTATTGAGGATAATGTTAGTGTGGGTTTTTCATATATGACCTTTATAACTCTAAACCTACTTTGTTAAGGGCTTTTGTTTTTGTTTTGTTGTTTTTGTTAAGGGTTGTTGTTGAGGGTTTTTTTTTTTTATCATGAATGGATGTTGTACTTTGTCACATGCTTTTTCTGCATCTAGTGAAATGATCATATGATTCTTATCCTCTCTCTTATTGATGTGATGTATCATGTTGATTGATTTGTGAATATTGAACCCACTCTTCCAACCCAGGAATATATCCCACTTGATCATGGTGAATGATTTTTTTAATGTATTGTTGGATTGGTATGCTAGTATTTTGTTGAGGATTTTTGCATCTTTGTTCATCAGAGATATTGGCCTGTAGTTCTCTTTCTTTGTGGTGTCTTTATCTGGTTTTGGTATTAGGGTAATGCCGGTCTCCAGAACGAATTTGGAAGTTTTCCTTCCTCTTCTATTTTTTGAAATAATTTGAACAGAATAGGTATTAATTCTTCTTTAAATGTTTGGTAAAATTTGCCTGTGAAATCATCTGGTCCTGAACTTTTCCTTGTTGGGAGTTTTTTTATTCTGATTCAATTTCTTTGCTGGTAATCATTCTGTTCAAATTTTCTATTTCCTCCTATTTTGGTTTTGGTAGGTTATATGATTTTAGAAATTTATCCATTTCAGGATGCCTGGGTGGCTCAGTCGGTTAAGCATCTGCGTTTGGCTCAGGTTATGATCCCAGGGATCGAATCCCACATCAGGATCCTGCTTAGTGGGGGGCCTGCTTCTCCCTCTGCCTACCACTCCCCTTGCTTGTGCTCTCTCTCTCTCCAACAAATAAATAAATAAAATCTTTTAAAAAAAAAGAAATTTATCCATTTTTTCCTAGATTTCCGATTTGTTGGCATATAGTTTTTCATAATATTCTCTTATAATTGTTTGTATTTCTGTGGTGCTTGTTATTACTTCTCCTCTCTTGTTTGTGATTTTATTTATTTCGGTCCCTGTCTTCTTTTCTTGATAAATCTAGCTAGAGGTTTATCAGCTTTATTGATTTTTTTCAAAGATCCAACCCCTGGTTTCAATGATCTGTTCTATTATTGTTGTTATTTTTTTCTATATTATTTATTTCTGCTCTAATCTTTATCATTTCTTTCCTTTTGCTGGTTTTAGATTTTGTTTGTTGTTATTTTTCTAGCTCCTTTAGTTGTAAGGTTAAAACGTTTGTGATTTTTCTTGCTTCCAGAGGAAGGCCTGTATCACTATAAACTTCCCTTTTAGAACTGCTTTTGCTGCATCCCAAAGATTTTGAACCATTGTGTTTTCATTTTCATTTGTTTCCACATACTTTTTAAATTTCTTCTTTGATTTCCTGGTTGACCAATTCATTGATTAGTAGCATGTTATTTAACCTCCATGTATTTGTGGTCTTCCCAGATTTTTTTCCTTGTGACTGACTTTTAGTTTCATAATGTTATGGTCAGAAAAGGTGCATGGTATGATTTTGATCTTTTTGAATATATTGAGGTTTGTTTTGTGGCCCAATATGTGATCTATTCTGGAAAATGTTCCATGTGCACTTGAGAAGAATGTGTATTCTGCGGTTTGGGGATGGAACATTCTGAATATATCTGTTAAGTCCATCTGGTCCAGTGTGTCATTCAAAGCCATTGTTTCCTTGTTGATTTTCTGTTTAGATGATCTATTGATGTAAGTGAGTTGTTAAAGTCCCCTACTATTGTTGTATTATTATCAATTAGTTCCTTTATGTTTACTATTAACTATTTCATGTATTTGGGTGGTCCTGTATTGGATGCATAAATATTTGCCATTACATCTTCTTGTTGGATTGCTCCTTTATTATTATATAGTGTCCTTTGTCTCTTGTTACAGTCTTTGTTTAAAGTCTAGTTTGTCTGATATAAATATTGCCACTCTGGCTTTCTTTTGACATCCATTTGCATGATAAATATTTTTCTATCCCCTCACTTTCAATCTGCAGGTGTCTTTAGGTCTAAAATGAGTCTCTTGTAAGCAGCATATAAATGAGTCTTTTTTTTTTTTTCCATTTGTCATCCTATGTCTTTTAACTGGAGTGTTTAGTCCATTTACATTCAAAATAATTATTGATAGACACATGTTTATTGCCATTTTATTACCTGTTTTGCAGTTGTTACTGAAGATTTTGTCTGATCCTTTTTGTCTTTCTCTCTTTCATGGTTTGCTGGTTTTCTTTACTGATATATTTGGATTTCTTTCTTTTTATTCTTTGCAAGTTTATTAGGGGTTTTTGATTTGTCTTCTGCATATAGCAGTCTATATTAAGTCAATAGTCATTTAATTTTGAACCCCTTCTTTACTTGTCTACTTCCCACGTTTTAGGTATATGTCATCTTTTACATACGTTTATTTTGTGATTTCCTTGACTGGTATTTTAAAAAAATTTCTATTTTTACTGCTTCTGTGTTTCCTACCTTTAAACTGTCACTTTTGGTCTTTCCTTTCCATTTAAAGAGTCCCCTTTAATATTTCTTGCAGGGCTGTTTAGTGGTCTCTTGACCACTCCTTTACATTTTGTTTTTCTGGGATTCTCTTTATCTCTCCTTCTGTTCTGAATGATAACCTTGCTGGCTAGAGTTTTTTTGGCTGCAGATTTTTCCTATTCAGAACTTTCAATATATCATTCCACTCTCTTCTGGCTTGGAAAGTTTCTGTTGAAAATCCCTTGATGGCCTTATGGTGTTTCCCTTGTATGTAACTTTCTTTTTTTTTTTCTTTCTTTCTTTCTTTCTTTCTTTCTTTCTTTCTTTCTTTCTTTCTTTCTCTTTCTTTTTCTTTCTTTCTTCTTTCTTTCTTTCTTCTTTCCTTCTTTCTTTCTTTTTTGTCTTGCTGTTTTTAATATTTTTTCTTCATCACTATATTTTGCCATTTTAATTATATGCCTTGGGGTAGATGGTTCTTGGAGGAGTTTCTGTGAATGCTGCCTCCCTGGGACACACTCTGAGATGAGCAAATAACCTCTCCACTGTATGCATCAGGTGTTCTTTAGATCACTGTTTCCACACTGTAGATCTGCAGGCTGTTTGCCCTGCATTCTCTTCTCCCCAGTGCCTCTGGGCTCTCCCTGAGCCAAGCGCACTGACCTTAGAACTCCAGGCTGTAAGCCCCATTGGTTGCAAGAACTCATGAAATTTGGCCCCTCTCACTTTCTAAGTCAATTGCTGTGAGGATTCATTTTCCCTGTACCCTTCTCTGCAACTGTGGTCCCTCCCCACTGTGGTAACCACAATCCATTTCTCTCTCAAACCAGGTCTCCACATTTCCTCCCTTCTTCAATATGCCCTCTTCTCTATCTTTAGTTGTGGGATTTGTTTAGCCAGCCTTCAGGTCAATTTCTGGGGTATTTAGGATGATTTGATAGTTATCTAGTTGTATTCATGGGACAGAGTGAGTCTAGGGTCCTCCTACTCTGCTGCCATCTTCCTTTCCATGTGAAGTAGTTTGGGCTCAGCATAGAAATCTTAGGGTTGTTAGACTGCTTACATGGCATCTGGCTTCCCTCAAAGTAAGTATCTCAAGAGAGTAAGGCAGAAGAACATAGCATTGTTATATTCTTGTGTTAAAATCACATTTTATTACTTCTGACATACTATGTTTGTTGAGGTAAAATGTCATCTAGATTCAAGAGAAGGAGACAGACTGCCTCCTGATGGGGGAAATATCATACTTATATAGTAAAAGAGCATGAGGGTTAAGAGTTATTGTTACTGCTATTTTTGGAAAACCTGACTTACCATAGACAGGAACCATGTTTCTACAAATTTTACATTACCCATGCTTAACACAGTGCCCAATATGAGATGGCCAATAAGTAGTTTTTATGTCATCCTTGCAGAGGGGTCATGGTAATCTTCTCTGTATTGTTCCAGTTTTAGTATATATGCTGCTGAAGTGAACATCCAGTAAGTAATTTTCAAAAAAGGTTTACTGCTCTCAGTTCATGTGCATATGTTTTTCTGTTTGAACTTTCTGGGGTCAGCCTTTTTAAATTTTAACTCATTGTTTATAATTGTAATTGAAAAAAAATGAGACAAATTTGGATACAATAAACAGTAGCAGGACTCATAAAGAACATCTAAACATATTTCTATATTAAGTGTATTAATTCTAAAATGAACCTAGAATGCCATTTTACTTGACATTGACTAATCGGTAATGGTATATTTTTTCAAATTTGATCTGATTTATTTTAAAATGGACATACATATACACACACATACACACACACACGATTGAGAGAGAGAGAGAAAGATGGATAATAAGGATTTGGTTCACATGATTATGGAGGCTGGCAAGTCCGAAATTTACAAGGTTGAACAGTAGGCTAGAGACTCATGGAAGAGTTGATGCTGAAACTGAATCCAAAAACAGTCCGATGATAAAATTCCTTTTACTTCAGGGTAGGTCATTCTTTTTCTTAATACCTTCAACTGATTGGATGGGACCCACTCACATTATGGAGGGTAATTTGCTTTACTCAAAAGTCTACTGATTTAAATATTAATCTCCTCTTAAAAAATACCTCCATACCAACATCCAGATGTGTTTGACCAAATATCTGGGCTCTGTGGCCTAGCCACTTGACACATAAAATTAACCATTACAGACACTAATGATAGGGTTGGTTATTGTTTTCACTAAGAACGTTAAAAACCTTTAAACCCACACCAGACAGAGATTTTACTTGTGAAATTATCTCAAATAGCTGAAGTCTGTTTTCCAAATTTTCTCACTCTGTATGTTTGTGTGGAATTCTCAGGATATGGTATGAAAAGGTTAGACTAACTGCAATAGTTAGCCTAATTGCAATATTTTAGTTGCTTAACACAATGAGAGTTTATTTGTTTTGTTTTTTTTATTTTTATCCAAGTTTTATCTGAGAAATTATTACTGAGGAAAATCACTGTGTTAAAAAGCAGTAAAATTTAACAAACATTTACTGAATACCTATTATGTATCATGTGCTGGCATGATATTGCATTCTGTAATTGAATATTATTTATCAAAAGTTGCATATAGTAGAATGTTGTATGAAGCTAATTTTTTTAGTATTTTAAAGTTTTAAAAATAACTTTATTGAAATATAATTGATATATAGAAACCTTACATATTAATTTGGCAATCTGCAAATACAGAGAACAAACTGATGGTTGCCAAAATTTATTTATTATTTATAGAAAAGCTTAGCATCCATGAGGCATATTGAGCATCCAGACTGTTTATAGCTGTACCTCTGCCTTCCTTTACATTCTCAGCATCATCTCTTCTCAGCTGGTATATGGCAAAAGGAGAAAGTGAGGAGAAGCTCTCTCTAGGTGGAAGGGAGCTGATAAGTGCAGGCTAGCAGTGTCTCAAGGAATCAGAGGAGGTCATAGATCTTGGTGAGCAATCTTAGGCCATCATCTAGGGGCATGAGAGTTCTGGGTACTGCCCTCCATCCAGCAGTGAAAAATTAATTAGGAGTAGCAACAGAACAGGAACCCTAACTAGAGGTATCCACATTCTTTTTAGGGTACCCCATTTCTTGATTGGGATGTGACGTAAGGTTTTTTACTTTCCATTCCATAAATATACTTAGAGTGTAGTACCTCTATTTTAACTATGTATTTTAGTTTAAGTCTTTAGGAAGAGAGAAGATTCTGTAAAATTTCTCTTTGCTGGAAAACAAGAGACTAAAAACAAGACTCGAGGCTTTAGATCAATCAATGTTTCCATCTGGTGAATGTTCTCTTTGATGGCCTCATTTAGAACTTCAAGAGGTTTTGCTCAAATTTAAAATTCTCATTACAGTCCCTGCCAAAGCATCTTAAATGCAAAACAATGTTAACTTTAAAAATTTAGAAATTGCTAAAGGAGATGTACCATTTAGAGCCAATAACTGAAAACTGTGAGATAAAATGGGTCAGAGAAAAAAATTCTAGCACATTCTATAAGACTGTTGCTCTCTGAAAATAAAAGTAACAAGACCTTCATTATGGTTTAAAGGTCCTTTTTTTATATAGAGCTATATTCATTTTTTCTGTAGCCTGTAGGTCCCATCCCAGTTTATAGGGAGATGTGAATTATAGCTGATGGAGGGTTCTCCTAACATTTGCCCCTTTCCTCACCTTTGGAATGAATCCCAAATGGACTTGGTTTTATAAGTTACATGTTTCTTCTGTTCTACAAGTAATATTGATTGCCTTCAAATCCATTTCTTTTTCTTCTAGAAAAGAAGTCATTTTTAGTGGACCAAAAAAAAAAAGTACATTCATTTTGTTTTCCCCAAAAGCACTTCATTTTATCATTAAATTAACCTTGGCCTACCTTAGAGCTCCTCAATGGCTACCGATTTTAAGCTTTCTCCATACCAACATCTCATTCTTACTGCATTTTAGAGATGTCTTAGTAACTTAACTATTTTTTCTATGAAGGTTTTTCCATATTTTATATGGATTCCCACAACACATGTGTTTTCAAATTTTAGTTTCCACTAAATTCTCATAGGCATAATTTTCCTTGCACATTTTCCTACTTGGATTTTTAATTTTACTACCTTCTCTATACTAAAAAAAACCCATAATATTTCTTTAAATAAAATAGAAAAGAATGAGTAAGCATAAGGAAAGTGTGCAGAGCCATCATAGTGATAGATTGGCAATTTCTTTATAATTATTTTTACCATAATTCTTACACAGATAGTACACAATGACTTCAACAGAAGATATATGCATTTAAGTTTTCTTGGGAATATCAAACACAATATGCTAGAGGTACAAGACATATTACCATATATTCATAATGCCAACAAATTGTAAACAACTTGATTTAAAGATTGTTTTTCAAAATTAATGCTTTATTTGCTATATAAATGAAGGATAAGATAGGCAAAGGGAAAATAGTCCCTATTTGTAATGGAAATGGAAGAAAGGGAGAAGACCAATGTGTAGTGAGTACCCTCTTTAGGTCAGGCTCTTTCATACAGATTATCTCATTGATTCTCACAATATCCTAATTGTATGTGTATGTAATTGTTGCTACCATGTATAGGAAAAAATGAAGACTCATTTCAAGTAATAAACAGAAGGTTACACTGCTAATAAAAAAACATGGGGTTTAAAACAACTCTGTGGGACACCAACTCTGGATATTTATGACACTATGACTGTGGGGCCTGGAGAAGACAAAGAAATGTAAGAAATCCATAGGATGGCTTTGAGCACATGAATAAGTTATTTGTAAAAATGATATTCAGCCATCTTCAAATCTACCTATTCCAGCATTTGATAAAAATGAGAAAATTTTATTTAATTGGTTATAATGTGAATCATGTGCAAAGTGATGGTAAAGACTATGAATTTGAACTCCACCAGACAATTTTTTTTATGATTTCATGGATGACTAAATTAAAATAGTTGAAGGATCATTAAACATACAAGATTGATTACTAAAGCAGCTAGCTGAATTGTTTTCTTTGGCTGTCTTTGAGAATGAAGGAAAATGAATGATCTTTCCAAGTTAAGTAGATGGGAGAGAGAATTCATTTTCCACAGGTTCTTCAACACACAGCTCCTCTGAGAAATCTACCTTAATGAATTACCTTAACAACTGAATCTTCTATCCTGTGCTTCCTCAAACACTTAATGTACCATAATGTTTTGTATACTCATTTGTATCTGGTTACTGTAAGTTCTGTAAATGTGTTTGGAGTGTTGCTCAGTGAACTAGTTAATAAACTTCTTCAGGACGGTGATCAGCTCTCTAAAGTTTTTGTATTGAGGTGCATGTGAGGGAGGGATAATGAGAGATAAGGGCAAGGAGACCAATATTTTAGTAAAAAAAAAAAAATAGAACAGTAAATAAGACAGAAGTAGGGGACTTAAGAAATAAGAGGAAAGTCAATAAGAATAGTACCATGAGTCAAGAGAAGTTGACTCTAGAATGAAAACCACAGAGAGGTTGATCAGAATGGGATTGACAGGTGGCTGCTGGTTCTCAGTAAAGTGATTGATGGCAGTTTTATTAGATTAATGAGAGAATAAGTAGACTCTAGAAGATTGATGAATGAAATGGAGATGAGAAAGTGGAGGCAGTTAGGACATACATCTTATTTTTCTAAGGAGCTTGATCATAAAAGAATAGAAGAAACTAGAGTGGTGGTTTGAAGAGAAATCCAGACTGAAGAAAGGTAGTTTTAAGATAAGAATACTAGAGCATGTTTAGAGATCAAGAGGAACATGATGGGAATAGACTGAGGTTTAGCAATAAAGAAGGAAGTCTTGGTCAGTGCTAATCTTGGATGATCTGACACTAGACCACTAGGGTTTGAAACTTGGATTTATCTTTTATTAGCTGTGTGAACTTGGGCAAGCCTAGGTTTTGTCACTTATTAAATGGGAATAATTAAGCATTATGGTAAAGATTAAATGTTACAATTTATTTAATGTGCTTATCCTAGTGACTGGTGCAGGTGAACATTCAATATGTGACAGCTATTATTGTTGCTGTTGTTAGAAAGCTCCTAAATAAAAGTCATAGATGGAGATGTTAGTGTGCAAAAGAACAGAACTATTGTTTTTTTCTCACTGAGGAAGATTAGGACTGATGATGTTATAGATTACATGTAGAAGGTAAGCTGAAGCTGAAGGAGAAAATCTCAGATGGGTTTGTTTTGTTTTTGTTTTTGCTCTTGCTTTTTTACAAAGAAAGGAGTTTATTGAGAATTGATTATATTAGATTTGGTTTGAAATCTAATTTGGTATGATCATATCATATTTAGATTGGGTTTGAAACTACTTTATTCCATTGACAAAGAGAATTATGAGAAATTGGTGAATGCAGTGGTGGGTAGAAGACATTGAATACACTTTGAAAATGAAAACTACAAATTTTATTATAGTTGATTTCTACTGTTATGTGA